GTGCAGAGGGTGTGTCCCGAGTTCAGCCAGCCGAAGACTGGTTTGGGTAAGCCTTCAACTCTGATCCCACGACCAGTGCACTTAGGATGGCTGTATTAAACCACCAGTACCTCGCCCAGCTTGAAAAAGCCGACGCGGCCGTTAACGTGGCGCGTCGGGCGGGGTACCCACCGGTGAACGACTGGTAATCCCCAAAAAACGGGCAAAAAAAAAACAAAAAAACCGATGAAAATGAGAAGTAACAAACGGAAAGAAAACGGGCGAGGCAGGGGGAAAGGGGGGGAAGAATGAGAGAGAGAGAGAGAGAGAGAGAGAGAGAGAGAGAGAGAGAGAGAGAGAGAGAGAGGGGGGGGGGGTCAGGGAGTTTCTGACGCCGAGTTTGAAGGAAATAAGAAACTCTCTGATGCCCTCCCTCTCTCTCTCTCTCTCTCTCTCTGTGAGTGAACCTCTCGCGAGAGTGAATCTTCCTCTTTATCGAGGAAGATTCATTCTCGTTGATATGTCTGATTTCTTATCTTATTTTGTTTTTTTTTGCTGAATGTTGTATGTCTTTGTTTTTTTTTTTTTTTTTTTCCTGTGATGTACTACAGGATGTACGAGGTTCGGCAATAAAGTCCGAGGCTCGGGAATGATCAGGCTACCGGTAGTCCGAGCCTCAGACTTGATAGCTGAGCGAGGTACTGGTAGTTTAAGAAACCACTCCACCGATTTTGTACACTGTTAATTTGGAAAATTGTTCTGTAGCTTCCCAGGGGTTATTCCCCCATCTGCTGCCAGTTTTTTAACTGAGAAAACCATATTCAACTTGGATGTGTAATAATTTGTAGTTTTTGGTTCCGATGAAGTAGGTCATTCAGAAATTGCATGCTCGCTTGACATCTGGGGTCAACTGTTTTTTTTTTTTTTGGTTCTGTCCATCTCCAGGGACCCAAGGACTCGAAAAATAAAAAATAGGCTCAGAAATCACTCTTCCTCCCGATCATGGCATCATACTTTTGCATATCCGCTTGTTTGCGTGAAACTGTTTGTGACCCGACTTGGAGATCGGTGTGATGAGCAACGATCTGCACGGTCCGGAGAGCACTTGTTATGACCATCTAGTGTCCACTCTTCAAGCCTACCCTCTTTGCCCGGATAGAACACCCGGTCATAATAGCCGTACTTGGCACAACTGGCTGTCAAAATGCAGGGACAATCACAGGGCGTTCTATTTGGGTGACGGTGGTAGCAGTGGAATTCTTGACTCAACCGGTGAACCGATTATGGTCTTGTGGGTCATCATCCGTTATCAAAAGACTTTCCCATGTTTCCCTTAAACCACTAGTACCTCTGAGCGTCTTTTTGTCACACGGAAAATAATCGTTCAAGCTTTGCCGAAGTGTCAGTGTCGCAATTTTTTTTTTGTTTTTTTTTTCGGTCTATGAAAAGGTTTCACCCAGTTAACCCGACAATTGCAGACACAGAGACTCGATCCCTAGACCTGTGCCTAAACCCTGTACATTGAGGTTCGATCCCTAGACCTATCCTGTACTCTGTACATAGGCCCAGCGATCTGTGTAGGACTTGATTCCTAGGTCTGTATGTTAGGAGGTGAGTCTGTTACAAGTAGTCCTAAACAGTCTGTTCTAGAAGTCTCTACCTGAGTCTACTGTGGGCCTAGAGTCTGTCTGTCTGTCTGTAGGTTCTAGAAGTCCGTAGAACCCTGTAGCCGAGTCCAGTCAGCAGGTACCAGGGGTAGAGGCTGCATGTGGGGAAAAAGGGAGGCCCACACGTTCTGGAGAAGATTCCAGAATACGCGTTTTAGGGCCCAGCTGGTGTACACGTTTTGGTCCAGGGAGTTCCACGCAGTTTGAGCCTACCAGGCCCACGCAGTTTGGAAACTTCCAGACCCGGACCTCACATGGCCCAGGCCCACACGTTTTGAGGCAGGGCCCGGGTACCTCTGAAGAAGTATAAATAAACAGGCAGAGTCCAGCCATTCGTTCATTCGCCTGTGTGTCATGCGGAAGAGCTGCCTTGGTATCCTGTGTGTGGAGGTCTGCAGGTGCCCGGAGAGGAAGTGGGCTGTGAAGAAGACAGTGGCCATAGAGAACCAGCGAGAGAGACACTGGTGGCCATAGCTAGGAGGAAGACGACGGCGGCCATAGCCGCCCAGCTGTTGGTGTAGACAGGGTGTACAGAGTGTGTCCATGCAGCGTGTACATTCAGGGTGATCCTTGTACGTGCGTACATGTTAGAGAGGGAGAGTGAGGCTGGTGGTATAGACAGTGTTCGGCGGCCATAGCCGCAAGTTGTACAATTGTTCTGAACAGAGTTTAAGAGCAAGTTCGTTAATGATTATTGAACATGAGTTTGGTTTGCCATCGGTTCTCATGTATGCATGTTGTGAGCAAGTCCAAAGTCGAGTCTGATTGCATCTGGCACCGTGACCCATCTTGGTCCGCTCTGAGAATGCGTTTTGTGGCAATTTGGTGTTTGGAGCTTGCCTGTCAAAGGTATATATGTAGGCATTGTGGGGGTATGGTATATTCTCTCCTCCCAGTTTGATGATGCACACGGGGAAAGTGTCTTCCCCCTCCCAGCCGACGTGACGAAAAGTGGCTCTCAAGCACACCTGTTTTTGGTTGTGCCCGAATCTATCTTGGTTCACTGTTGTTTTGAACAGAATTGCCACGCTGGCATCAATGAGGGGGATAACAATGAGGGCGATAACACCTGTTCTTGGTTGTGCCTTTTTGTAATGAGGTGGGAAAATCTATCTGGTTCACTGTTGTTTTGAACAGAATTGCCACGCTGGCATAAAGAAGGGGATAGCAATGATCAGTGCTCTTCGGAGTTGCATCATGCAAAGTCCGTGTCGGAGTTGCATCATGCGAAGTCCGTGTGACAGAAATTCTGTGTGCAAATCACTGCAAAACGAATTATGAATACACTTTCGAATTCTGAATACACTTTCGCTTGTCGATTATCAAGACTGTGCTGTAAAACACTCCCAGTGCATGGTATGGAGTACAGCACTCCAGAAATGTGTGAACTCTTTTCTACAAGATGTGTGATAAGTCGGACACTGCTGTCTTCGGAAATGGTTTATGTTGCCGTGAACAGAATTGCCCATTCCGCAACACAGAGTCGTCAACCAACAAAGCAGTGTACTGCGACGACAAGGAGTGTGTTGACCTTGTGAGCGATGGATATGGTCACTGCGGAAACTGCACCATCCAGGAGCTGGCCGACTACAAGAAATGCCCAAAGCAAAGCTCTCTTGGAGACCGGTGCTACTATGCAACTTATTATGAAGATGGAAGCTCGTCTTATGGAACGTTCCGGCAGGATGTTCTTCATCTGCCAACTGGGAAGGACAACCATGCAGTCAATCTGGCATTTGGGTTTGTTCGTGACCCATCTTCCTTTCCTCCCTCTCACCGTTCCTTCCTTAGGTGATTTGTATGGTGCAGTGTGTTCATTCTTGTTCTCTCTCTCTCTCTCTCTCTCTCTCTCTCTCTCTCTCTCTCTCTCTCTCTCTCTCTCTCTCTCTCTCTCTCTCTCTCTCTCTC